AGTGATCCAAGTCAAAACAGCACAATAAATCAGTACACTATGCATTGCCCAGGCGAACATATAAAGGTCACTTCATTGCCGTTATATATGGCCGACAGATTTGGAACAGGAAATCATTTCGATACCTGTGGCTCATAGATGAGCTGGAATTAATCGAGCGAAGAAGTCCCTGGCGCTCTAGAAAATCTTTTACCTACAGGCTTCTCTGTTCCAATCTAGAAATGACGTTTTAGCAAAGTTGAAATTAAACCTTCCTACTAGATGACTCGACACATCAGTATATAATACCAGGGTTCTACTTGATGCATTGATGACGTATTTGTCTTCGTCTAATCTTATTCCCGAGTAAAAAACATTGTGATGTGTAATACCTTAGAGCCAGAGTAAAACATACTGGCGACAATTCCAACAGATTAATTTACACTGATTTTTCTTTACTTATGTATTACTCAGAACTAAAAGATCCCATTTTCTGAACCGGAAAAATAATCCTGACAAGTGACTGAGAACGAGTTAACAGAGCAAATCATCCCGAGTCAATATGGGCAGAACAATCAACATACTCTAGTAATACAGAGGATTAAATTATCTTTGTTGTAATATATTTTTGCTGAAACCCAAAATTACAAATGTTATTGTTTGTCATAAATTACATGCACAGTAATTTTTAATACTGGATTTTTGCTGACTCGACCCCTTCAGTGAAAATAGGAAAAATAAATTGAAAGCAAACATTAAGTATTCAAAAGTATTGCACCGAGGGTGTGAGAATGGAACCCACAACATATTTTGAATGAGAGATGACCAGGCTATAGACACAGCACAATGTTCATAATCATCAAGCTCTATTTCTAAACTCCTTGCTTATTTTAAGTAATACACTACACTTAACTATCACAATTATTAGATCACTCATATTTGATCTATTATAGTATGGTAACACTACGTTCTCAATAAATCATATTTTTGATTCAGTATACAACTTTTGGAATATGCACCATTTCTATTAGAGATGTGCTTTAAATAAGGAGTGTACAGTATAAGTATCATATTTATATAAGGGTAGGATATGGCTCCTTAGAATATATTTTTTACTTTCATATCTAGGGTAGAATACAATGAAATGAATAATGAAATAATTCCGAAGAAAAGCTTCTTGATTATTTATTATATTGATCATTTTATTCACCTCGCTATTTAATAGGGTACATTCTTAAGGCCAAAAAAACCAAGTCTTTTTTTTTTAATAGGCCCAAATATTAAAAACTCACCATTTTAAGCAGTAAAAAAGTGTTTTCTCTAAAAATTAAGTACCCCGGACCGTTGTTTGATCCCCAGAGTCCTCGTAAGTGGCGACTTTGAACCTCGGGTCGATATGTATTTATCTGACATGTTACGAATACTATGAACTTCATATACCTTAGATATTTACGATACAATTTAAAAAAAAAAAATCCGACCGACCTAATTTTTCGACTTAAGGGCAACACAAGTTGTTGTTTTTTTGACCTAATGTCGCAGAATGTGTGCGAATAGCAATAAAGCGTTGCATGTGTATAATCAAACATCCAGTATGTATTCAAATTTTAGTATGTTTTCAATAGTAATACACCCATGCATACCTCATGTGTCCATGATTCTGAACCACGTGCAAGTATTATTTTATGCCACACACATCCTTGCTCAAAAAGTAAGTACTGTTGAATACTTTATTTTAGCTGGAATTTGTTTTCACTTAATAGACTTTTCGGGCGTTTTGAATGGAATTTATTTCAACTGATTGTTGATGAGTTGAATGTAAAATATAGGAAAAAAGGTATATTCACTGGATTTTTTTTTACTGAATCATTCCTTAAGCGAAAAATTAATTCCAAGTGAATACCTGTCCCGTGAGTGGGTATGTAACTTTATTGTGTCAACACCGGTTTTTGGAGTAGCTAGGAAAATGTCTTGGGATGTTGCAATGTCCCTCGGTAATTGCCTCCCGCGTACAGGAGTTAGGTGTCCGTAAATATCTTGCGCTCCCTGTAAATATTTTACAATATTCTAATTTGACAGCATGAATTGAGAGTCTCAGAACACCAGTGGTACATGTACATAAACATCTACACACTTGCACTTGACGAATAGTCCAATCATTGCAATCTTATTTTAAGAAACTTGCGAAACATCAGCAAGGTACAGTTCATTTTGATGGCTACATTATGTACCGTATATAAGGTGAAAAGTTGTTAAAAATTTATCTGTGATTCAGATCTTCTCTAATGCTACTATAACAACCTACATATTGTCTTAAAGCTTAAAGGCCCAATTCACTTGCCCTGGGCAAGTGTGAATTGGAGGTGTGGCTATGCTAATGAGTGTTGTTGATCACTTGCATAGCCTATGACGCATCCTGTTTCAGCGGTCCAACATCTCGTGACTTTGATTGACAGTAGTTAATTATTCAAGATTAGTAGCGCGTCTCTTTCCCCGGTTCCTGTTTTTGACGTTTATCCGCCAAAATCTTAGCTCGTACACTATTTATTGTCATAAATACTACACACAGTCACTGCTGTGGTATTCATAGTCACATGCATCCACTTTGGCACAACATAATCGACCTGTAAGTTTGAAAAAACGTGTCTTTACCGGAGCTTGGCTGGAGCTGTTTACTACAGCGTGACAAGCAAGAGAATAATCCCTATTGTTTAGGAGCGTATTTATAGTATACCTGCCCCTTTAAATGTAAGTGAATCAGGAGTATTTATAGAACAAAACTGTAAGAGAGAGCACTGCAATTCAGCGGCGCCACCAAGTGGGAGATATACATGTAGGGTTCTACCTACCAGGGTGTGGAGTTTTTTGATAATTAAGTTAAAATGGAACATTCTATGGCTTCCTTGGGGCCAAAATTACTATCAGACAGGCCACAGTCTTTAACACATGTGATCCCTGGTCAATCAGAACTTTATGGTTGCAAGAGGATCTGCTCCCCAGGGTGAGGGGGCGCATGGCCATGGCATGCGGGTGCTGCACCCATGTTCCCTTGTTTAAAAAAACTCTGAATGCCATCTTACATATGCTGTACGAGTGTTTGTCCAACAAAATTTCTCTATTGTGCTTTTTTGACTATTCCAACCATTGGTTTGTTTTTAATTTCAAGTCACAAAATTGTGAATTGTGCAAGATGATCATGTTTTCTCTCTCTCTATTTTTCAAAGAATGACAGACCAACAACAGATTCTGTGCACTTCTACTATTAGATATGAACAACTAATAGAGCAAATACAGTATCTATAATTCTGTGTGTATTACTTGGCATTTAGCCTAACATTAAGAATCATCTAATTGGACATTTCTGGTAAGTTAAGAGTTCTTCAGAAAAAAAAAATCTGAACCGACTACTCATAAGGGTCAATTAATTTTGTTAAAGTAAATTTTAAAAGATGAAACAAAATTAAATAGATTCATTTGAGAAAATAGATTTATTCGACAACTAAACATATGAACAAACAAATTATATTAAATTTGCACTTTTTTTTGTATATAGCTAAAGAATTTAAAGCCATTAAAAACTGATTGATTCTCAATTACCTATGACATGGCAAGCAAAGGAGACAAGATAACAATCATAGGTAAAAAATTAATTACAAATTGAAATAACAAGTGAAAGTTATAAAGTCGTGTGTCTGAGTCACCAAGCAGATAGTGCTAGATAGCGATGATTTGTGGCTTATTTTCATAGTTTACATCACCAAACCAGCTGATAGTTGCAGGAGTGGAGTGTCAACATGCTGTATTATAAACAGACATCAGAGAGAGCGAGGGAGAGTGTGTTGGGAAGGGCAAATACCAAACAACAAAAATACACAGCTGCTTTGTTTCAAACACACTCAGCATCGAAAGAAGGGCTTGAAAAACTGACAATATCAAAATTAGAATATCATACTATAAATAAAATCATCCTCCTGGTTATTTAATTAAATAGAAAACCATTAAAACTGCGTTTTATTGATGAGGAATGTCATCGAAATAAATTTTTAAATTGACAAATATCAACTAGCAGCAATAAAATATGATAGAGAAATTGTTTGTATAATTTATAATATTTTAAGTAGTCATCTTGTTCAATAAGCTTAGCTACATCATATACACACACAGTGGGTCATGTCACCTGTTGGCAAAGAGACTGCATTTTCAATCAAGAAGTTAGAAAACTCGAGTTCAGCTCAAATATGACGTCGGCGCATTCACCAGACGGTCGCGTTTTTATGGTGTTTATATACTATATACAAAAGGTGACTGTTTTTTTTTTGTCAGCTATGCAAGGGTATACAATAGATATATGCAAACTAGGAAAGAGATGCAGACAAAACGGCAAGCGTCGAGTCGTGCAGGCAAAACAAAGAGGTTTATATGAAGCGTGTGGCGACCGCGAGAAACCGGTTAATCAATTTGTCAAAACTGCGCTAAATTCAAAACAGACGAGATGTACACGAAGAGTAAATTTTGCTATCCGATTTCCTGGATTGATAACCCACGGCTGTTTATTATTCACTAGAGTTTGATTTTTGGATGTTTTTATTTTATTGATCGTAACAACAAGTTGTTGAGAAAAACAAACAAAACCTCCACTGGCACTGGTCAGAAACAATGGTGATCTCTGTCCGCACGTTTTATCACATTTAATCAACCGCCGTCGATTCCCCCACACTATAAGCTATACATGTGATCGAATCATGTGTTACAAAACCAGTAAAGATGAGTCCACTGGACCGATACGTGTAGTGTCGAGTTAAAACTGGGTGCGGCGTGTAAAAGCGTTAGGTTGATATTCAGAATCAACAGTGTGTATTTATACTTCATTTTGAAACCCTAACAGCGCCATGCTTGCAACGTATTAATTTTGACAACAAACCAAACACACAATCGACAATATAATCATGATGCATGTCGCCGATCTGAACACAGTGCATTTGATTTGATCAAATATAGCAGATAAAGATAGAAAATCTTACCTAACTATGGCGAGTATCTTCAAACGGTCTTTGTTTGGTTTGCGTCAAAACAGACAGCCTTACAACAAAGTCCCAACTTGCTGCAGTGATTGTCCGCTCACCAACCAATTGTTGCAAACCCTTCGATTTCTGCTCGAAATCGGCCCCGAAATCCTGAAAACCAGATACAAGCCACATTATGCTCCACTATACACAACACGAAAATCAAACGACCCGGTTAAGGGGGTCGAATTAAACGAAATTTCGACACAGGACGGATAGCTACAAGTCTGGCCCGGAAGTTCTGCCTAGAAAAATGACAAAAATTTCAAAGATGTGCGAATTTCTGCGCGGAGTGCTCCCCATTCCAACATCCAAAACTCGCATTAAATAGGTATTTCATAAAAACCTACCACGGGTCCACCCAGCTGAATAATCAAGGCACAAGGCGGTAGCAGTTGGTACGAGTTTTTCGATTGAAAAACAGCTTTTAACCAAGTTTTGTCGAGTTACTTGATGCTTTCTGTGAGGTATGCATGGAATGGTAAAAGGTATGTCAGTCTGCCAGAGCCTCAGCCACTACATATTAACCAATCAGTGGGCGGAGCCAACGAACACAATACTATGTAGGGAGAATTTACATATTGATCATCTGCCCAGTTTTTGTATAAGTCAACTCCCTTCTTCCCAGTCGCGTAGTCTTAGTATGACCTTTATTACAAAGTATTAATTCTATAAAATATTCATTTTAGATACAACAGATTATTCACAAATCTGTATTATAAATAATTCAAGTGATGATTTTACCAACGTCTCCCAGCTTCTCCCATGAGTCAAACGTTCTAAATAAGCCAATGGCGACTTCATTTTAGTACGATTCTTGCCACGTTAGTAGTTTAAAACGTTATGGGAATTGGCTCTGTTCAGAGAGCTTTCAGTGAACTGCCAAAAACGCTTACAGTTCATCACTATTATCGCGACAACAACCCTTAGATTAGAAGTCATTTTCTTGTTGCCATGTACAAAAGCAAGTCACGGGTAAACTGACAGGTAATGACAAGGTCAAGAGAACGTACCACTTTGTTGTGGGGTAGAATGGACCAGAAGAGAGGAACAAACCTTATCAAATATATCAATCACTTTGGTCTGTTTACACATATAAACTCCTATATAAGTATTATAAACCGAAATCAAATAAAGCGTGAAAATTAAATCGCTACGCTAAAGAAAGTAAATATATTATAGATAATTTAAACACCCCTTTCACAAAATAATGTTGGTCTAATTGATGACCCTTCAGTGTAAACGGACACTTGTATTTTCATTGGTTCAAAAATGACGTCACCTTTCATGTATATCTTTTCAACCTCGCACTACAAAAAGTTTAGACCGCCAATTTTCCAACTATGCAACCAAACATAAACAAGTAGATAATCAATCAGAGATTTGGATATCAGATTTATCCACTTTCAAAGTTTTCTTTAAATTTCACATCAACAATTAACATAAATTTAAAATAATGCAAAACAACACTAGATTTTTGCAAACAAATATAAATTAATATAAATTCAATTAAAATCGAAAAACAACTTGTTTCAGTCTTGAGAAAAATTATCACAAACTCTAGTAATAAAAAAAAAGTTTAAGTACTGAAATCTGTCAAATTTTGATAATTCAGTTTGAGGTTGAGAACTTTATTTTACAAAAATCATTATGATTTCCTGGCTGAAGAGTCCCAGTGAAATTTTCACAATTTTCATTTACAAGCAAAATTTTTAATTTTAAATGTTTTAATCTTCAAAATTTGAAAAGTGTTTATAAAATTAATATTAATTATGTATAGTAATCAAATTATACATGTTTTTTTTTTAAAAAGTCAATCGGCAAAAACAAAATAAAAATAGTTTCACATATTTTATTCAAAAAAAAAGGGGGAGTGGTATAGTAAAATTTGCCTAGTTACTAATCAGTGTGAGTTTAATTATTTTGGAAAAGATATTAGTACTATAATAATTCAACCAAATAATTGAAACATAATTATGAATTTAATTTATAGCTTTCCATAACATGCTAACCAATAGCAGAAATAGAATTGTGTAAAATTAGTGCAAAAACACTGAGCAGAAAAAAGGAAAATGCATATAAATAGTTATGTTTTGAAGTAACAAAAGGCCTCCCCCACCTACACACACACAAATACTTCATCTAGGGGAGGGAGCTTTATAACTGTTACAACATTTGAAACATTCACTAATGAGAGGGTGAGTCCAGAGGTCCCAATCTGATATTGTACTATTGATGGGGTTGCTAGGCAACATCACAAGCACTGTCTGGAATGCCTTGGATGCTTGTTGGTTAGAGTCTCCATACACAATATGCAAATCATCCATCTGATTCTAAGTCACAAATTTCAAAGTAACAAAATGCTGGAAATTAATTGTATGTGAAGAGTATTATTTGTTGTCTCCATGATCTGTCATGCTCAAGTAAAAGTAATGTGTAGCCTTTTAACCAACACACTCCCTTTTCATTTTTATGTTAATTGCAATTTTCCTAGTTTTATTTATGTATTTCTCTGACTAATGAATGCATAAATAAACTAATGACACATATTATTCAGTCAGCATGTCATTTAGACAGTTACCAAGATTCTGAAAGTTGTAAGTTATCTTTTCGTACTTTTTCTGCTGTAATTCGCACGTTAAATTTTCTCGTCCCCCAAAAGTAATGACATAAAAAAACGATCATCCAGATAACTGACCCTAATCCTATATCCTGGAAATCAGTGACGATGAAATAAAATTTTGCTGCTATAAAACTTGATCAATTTATGATCTTAACTCTTTGAGTGTCAGGTATTTTTCTCGCCCAAAATTTAGCACAAATAATTTCACATTTTTTGCAATTTTTATTAAATTTCATCATTATTTTGGCCCATACAGACATTTTCAGATATTGCCATTAGTTTTTGATCAAAAAGTTTGCCAATTTATATTAACATTTTGAGTGGGGAAAAGCAGACTATAAAATTGTTTGTAAATGGTGCGCAAAAAATGACATTAGCACTCAAAGCGTTAATGGGGACAAAATTTGAGTGAGTTTTTTTTTTTTTTGGGAGGGGGATGTTGATATCGGACGGGGGTGGGGGTTCAAACCAAGATAAAATAAATCCTTTGCATGGAGAAAAATAAAAATGATCTGTTTTTAAAATGATTAAACCCAAGACACAACAAAAATAAAAAAAATAAAAACACAACAATCACTGTCCAAAACATTTCAAACTTCTCACTGAAAATTCATTTGTCTCTTACAAATTAAAAACTTTGAGTGCCAAATCCATTTTTTGCTGCTATTTCACAAAATTGCAAAACTTTTTTTATCGTAAACAGAGGGAAATTGTGACCATTTGGTCAAAAAATAAAAAAAAATACATAAAACATGCACAATGATTTACTCAAATTTTGGCGGGAAAAATGATGGTGTCAATGAAAATCAAGAAATTTGTTTTTCAGTAAACATTTTTTGGGATCTTTCAGACAAAGATCATCACAGTATATTTGTGAAATTTCATCATTATGGAGACACTTTCAAATCATCAATTAGCACGAAAAATTTAACATATTTACAGCGCACATTCATACATACGTAAATAAACCATCAGCACCCCCCTCCCCCAATCAAAATTTACAAAAACAATATGTTACAGGTAATAACTATTAAACTGGAACAATAAACATTTATTTGGCTGTCAAAAAAAATTATTACCTAAATTATAGCGAAATGAAAGGAATAATCTGTCATAAATATTCTTGCTTTCACTGTCTGAAAAACTGTTGGCTAACTCGTTAAAATGATCATGGGGAATGGATATAGGATTAGTGGCATATTAGGAAGATTAACTTTTTGAACTTTGAACCCCAAATTCAACTTTTGTCACTTTTCACAAAATAAACCTACATCAATTGTTTCCATATTTCTTCAAAATTTTGATCAGGATTTGGAGCCAATGGGGAATAGGTGATTTTCCGTACAATTGCGAGATCTCGCGAGATGCATGAAAGACGTGCCTCGAACGTCTGCCGCAAAAATCGAACGATTTGATTTTGAACTAGAATTTCTTTATTTCGTAGCTTACATTGACCGGCCGATCTTCGACAGAGGAATATTGCTTCCGAATACCCTTACTTAATCGAAATTGCCTATCATCGAATGTGTACAGCACATTATTAAGCATGGAAATTTCCCCAAAATACTTTCGCGTTTGTCGAATCCCACACAATGTTTGACGCCACTACGACGCTATGACCTTTGTTTGTCCTGTTATTAGTTCGATTTCATGCATAACGCGTGATTCTCGCAGTGAACGGAAAATGGTCTATTATTTCCATTTTGTCCAAAATTAACAATTATATTATGAAATAATACATAAAAATGTACAAAATGTTTCAACATAATTTTGGCGGGAAAATTAAAGCCGTTCATGCAGTTCAATGATGAACAGTATTTGGTGGTGGGTAGAAGAAGACTTTGAGACAATTTAGGCACTGTTAGAGGCTTGGATTATTAGCATAACTATAGAAACAATGGAAACATTAGTATAACAATAGAAACAATGGGATATATTCGAATAACAATATCTGCTTATAGGGTAATTAACGACTGCCTGCTGGGTCAGGAAAATAAAGAAAAGATGGAATGGAGATAATTATGGATGTGTTGAAGTGGATACAATGTCAGAAAAGGTGGGAAATGTTGGGTCTTTGTTGAAAATTTCAAGTTTTCACCCTTCACTGATTTTTCATATGTTTTTAATAGGGTCAATAATCAAACCAAATGATTTCTTATCAAATGGTCTATGATCTAATGTTTTGTTCAGAGATAAGACATATAATACTGCAAATTGTAGTATTAGGGAAGTTATACCCTTTTTAACTTGAGAACATTTTTTTTTTATATTTGTGAGCAAATAAAGTATTTGTGTTTCTGGTGTATGTCAATAAAAATGTGTGTTTTTTTGTTGTTTTTCAATAATTTAAGAAAAAATCATAAATTTCTGAATGTCAATTTAAAATAATAATAAAAATTCATCCCCATGCATCGATTTCTGAAAACAATTTGAAGATAATTCATTTACTTACATAAAAAATGTGCGCATAAAATGTATTTGATGAAGAAGAATATTTTTCAAATTTATTTTAATCATATTATTTTCTCGCTGATAGTGAGCAAGATCAGAATTTATTCAGAATGGCTGCGTAATTACAAATTCAATTTAGTGCATGTGAGGGGTCGACCATTTGAAATCTGGGGGAGGGTGAAACATTTGTTAAAAGACACCAAGAACGAAAAAAAATTGCATGCAAGGTGTTGCAAGCAGGTACAATTCTGGCAAAATTTAAGAGAAATAAAAATGTACAGACAAGACACTGTGAAAAAAAATTGCACTTTTAGAAAAATACATAAAAAACACTGCACACATATTTTGGCGAGAAAAATTATCTTTGATCGCTAACTCATTCGTTAGTGAATGAATCTCGGCCAGTGGAAATGGCCTTCCCATTGACTC